TGATTCCGTTGAGGATGTTTCTTTTCCTTTTTTTAAGGTTGTAATATACAATAATGTTGCATGTTATATAAAAAATTCTATTGAAATCCATGCCAGTACATTTAGTATCTTACCAAAAGAACTGCAGATACTGGAAATTGGAAACAAAAACAAAAACAGAAATTGCTGGATAAACTCAACAGGTCTGGCAGCGTCTGTGGAGAGAAATCAGAGTTAACGTTTTGGATCCAGTGACTCTTGTTAATTTCTGTTTTTATTTTTGGAGTCATACTGCGCGGAAACAGACCCTTCAGTTCAACCAGTCCATGCCAAACATAATCCCAAATTAAACTGATCCCACCTGCCTGCTCCTGGCCCATATCCCTCCAAAGCTTTCCTATTCTTATACTTACCGAAGTGTCTTTTAAACATTATAACTGTGCCCACATCCACCTATTCCTCAGGAAGTTCATTCCACACCCAAACCACACACTGTGTAAAAAAATTTTGCCCGTCATGTGTTTGTAAAACCTCTCCCCTCTCACCTTACAATATGCCCCCAGTCTTGAAATCCCCCATCTTAGGAAAAGACACCTACCATTAGCCCTATTGATATCCCTCATGATTTTATAAACCTCTTTTGTTTCATTTAATATATTGCTATGTATAAAAGTGTTGAGTCTATTATAATTTTTGTGGTCTGATTGATTAGTATCTTGTAAAGGGGCAATTGGATTGTAGAAAATTGGCAGAATGATTAATTAGAGCTTGCTGTATCATTATAAATACATAGATGAAAATGGCTTCCAGTCCCTGAAGTCCATGCTTCGGATAGATTAATCACCCCAAATTCTTTCATATTTGAAGCCCTACATCTTTCTTGCACTAAATTTGAAAAGTGTAAGCACCAGAGAGGTTGTAGTTCCTAACATATTCATAAACAGCCATTACCACAGTTTGAGTTATACTGTTGACAAAACTAATGGTCATGTCATGTTTTGTACACTTTTTTGAAACTGTTTCTTTCATGGAGAAATTTAGGTTTCAGATTTGTAGGATATGTAACCAGCTTTATAGGTAGGTAAACTGGTGAGTTATTGCATGGATAAGGTGTCAAGCTGTCTCTCTGAATGTGAAGACTGTGAGGTTGAGGATCGCAAGATGCATACGTTAGTCACCCAGCTGATCTGGGGAGGAAATTCTGGCCAAGTAAGCAGAAGCCCACGTACCTGAAGCACAGAACTGATCAGATATGAAAAAGTGACCAGGAAAAATTAAGCAAGCCCATAATTGGGGATTGTGTGGCTTTTTTGTATTTGTTTAATTATTGAGATTTCAGTTGAGTTGAAACTTGATTATGTTAATTTCTTTGTACCTTCATTTACCATTTATGAATAAAATCATAAACAGCAATTAATTTTTAATTGGCCTTTCACAAATTGTTTTAGTGGCAAATTAGGGTAAAAGATCAGTCTATAGAAATGCAGTGACAAACATTTAAGAGATATTTCAGAATATACAGAATAGATGCATTTCAACGAGTAAGAAAGTTTCCAAGGGATGGGCACACCATATGTGGTTAGCTTGAAATGATGTAGATAGTTTCAAAATTGAAGAAAAAGCATATAGTTTTGCACAGACGGGACAAGTCAGAAGATTGGACAGAGTATAAACAAAAAACGAAGAATGACTGAAATATTAATGTGGAGGGAAGATAACTAGAGTATGCGAGCAAACTAACTATTATTCTAAAAATGTAGTAAGACCTTCTGTATTTGAAGAAGGAAGGGGTAAACACATGGTTCACTGATTTCAGCTGACAAGTCTGACTGGACTTCATCCTAGGCTCTTAAAAGAAGTTGGTTTTAATTTTGCACCGGTTTTAATTTTCCAAAGCTCCTTTGATTCAGGAATAATCCCATTAGATTGGAAGTTAGCAATTGTAACTCTCCTATTCAAAAAGATTGGGAGTCAAAGCAGGAAGCTGCAAACCAGCTTAACATCTGTATTGCGAAAATGTTGGAAGCTTTTATTAAAACATTTATAGAAGGACATTTGAATAAGTTCAAGGTAATCAGGCAGAGTCAATTTGGTTTCATGCAAGGGTCAACATTTTTTAATCAATCTATTAGAGTTCTTTGAGGAGGTAACACGTGCTGTGGATAAAAGAGAACAAGGTGTATGTACTGTATTTAGATTTCCAGAAGGTATTTGATAAGATGGCACATCAAGGGTTATTTTTGGAAAATGGAACTTACTGTTGTAAAGGGTAGTATATTGCCATAGATAGAAGATTGGCTAGCTATCGGAAGGCAGAGTAGGTGCAAGTGGGTCTTTTTCAAGTTGGCCAGATGTAATGAGTGGTGTGCCACTGGGATCAATGCTGGAACCTGAATTATTTACAATTTAGATCAATTGTCTAGCAGAAATGACAGAAAGTATGGTTGTCAAATTTGCTGATGACACAAAAGTCGGTAGGAAAGCAATTTGTAGTATGGATGCAAGAAGGTTATAAAAAAAGTTAATTGGTTATGTGAGTGGCAAAGATGTGGTAAATTAAGTATAATGTAGGAAAAAGTGGAACTTGGTAGGAAGAATGAAATATAAGCATATTATCTAAATAGTGAAATACTGCAGAGCTTTGTTGGACAGGCAAGGGTCATATCTGCTTTAGAAGATTGAAACATAAAATCCTGCCCTTGACAGGGTAGGTACAAAAAAGATATTTCTTCTTGTGGCAGAATCTGGAACTAGTAGTCACTGTTTAAAACAGAAATTATTAGGTGAAATCCTTTCTCTGAGGGTTGTGAATCTTTGGAACATGCTTCTTGAAAAGCAGAGTGTTTTCATATTTTTAAGGCACAGTTAGATTCTTGTTAAACAAGGAGGTGAAAGATTATTAGGGGTGGATGGAAATGTTGATTTGAGGTTGCAATCAGATCAGTCATGATCTTGTCCAATGGCGGAATAGGCTTAATGTCAAATACCTTATTCATGCTCCATATGTTCATATTTGTGAAAATCTTGCAAAGAGAAACTTATCCCCATGCCTGAATCCATGATTGACTATTTCATCTGCAAAGAAGTGCTGTTTTTATCAGAAGTGCTTAATGAGCAGAGAGACTTAGGATCTTTGGATTGGATCCAAGGGGATAGAGTGTTACATATTTCAGCAATGAAATATTTGCCCTGTTTGGACTTTATGTAAGATCCATTAATCGAGCTGCATAATCCAAGTAAAAGAACAATACCAGAGCAGTTGGTCCAATATAAGTGTGTAGATGTATTTAACGTGCTTTGAGTACTGGGATTGAGACATGTATATCTTTACTAGTGCAAGATTATAAAATAGATGATAGTAAATTGGCAGAGATACAAAACTGGGTGTTACTTTGCCCTACTTATGCATATGCATACACATCCAAAATCTATCACTATAAAACAAATAATATCTAGTTTTTGAAATGAGAGTTAGGGTTGCCAATGATCAAGTATTTATCAGCTATGGTTTAGCCAGTGACCTTGTACCCTGACCTTCCAAACGTCAGTGTCCAGTCTCTCATTCTCTGTGACTGCTGAATGATCCACTCCAGACCATGAAGCACCATGGCTTTGTTTTGAGCACTAGCCCCAGATTATCCCATACCTGTGTCTTTGCTACTTTGAAACTCCAGGCCTCAGATTCTTTTCTGTATATATTCTACCTCACCTGTCTTCAATGGGTTTCTGTTCTCCCTGAGCTCTTGCTTTGGAAGGAGAAGAGGGAGATCTGCTGTTCATATGCTTAGCAGATCTTTCTATTGCTAGTAACTCAATCATCTGGGAACTACTGTTGGCCGTAATAATAGTAGCTTTCCAATTCCAAATGTGTTAAATTATGAAGATGATTGGGCCTCACACCAGTAGAGAAGGTTTATTCATGCAAAGAAAAAATAAACTTTTCTGATATAACACCGTTCACAGCTTGGAATTTACAGGTGGTCTTTGGCCTTATGGCTTTGTGCCAGTGTTTATACTCCATATATTACTATTTATTTCACGCTATCAGCATATTTATCCATCATGATGTTAGCTAACCGCCCCTAAAATTTATTACGCTAATCCATGTGTTATTAACTTCCACATTCTCTTTCCTCTTGGAACAAAGTTTCTCTTGAACTCTGTAATGTAATGTTAGAAACATAGACAGTGAGGTTTGACAAACCAGTAATGAAATAGTCACCAGACCATGTCTCTTAGTGGCATTGGATGAAAAATAAATATTGACCAGGAGAACTCGACTATTATTTGAATGGTGTCATGGAATCTTTTATATTCACTGAGATTGAACCTCCTGATAAAATTTCATATTCATCTATCGATGTTGCAGCACTCTCTCAGTGATACACACAGTCAGCCAAGGTAGTGTGCGTACATCTCTGGAGAGGAGCTTGAATCTACAACCTTCTCTGACACTTGCAAGACTTCTACCTCTGAATCAACGATGACACCTTGAAATGATGAATGACCCAAAGAGAACAAAGCAAAAAACTTGCGTAAATTGAATGTCAGTGAATGAATGAAGAATAAAAAAAGGATTGTATTTATATATCCCCTTTCATGACCTCAGGACATGCCAGTGCACTTTACAGTAATAAAGCATAGTCGCTGTTGCAAACGAGAAAGTGTTAGTGTGACATCACCACTAACCCATGAGATAAGTCCACCGAGGCCCAATTTCTGCACACCTGAGATCATTGCATTGGCTAACTTCCTCTTCAACTTAAATACTACTTTGATAAGGTCCACTGGTAGAAATGTATAAAACTAGTATTTTGATTTCTGATTGGAGCTTGTTTGTATGACATTTAAAATAAATTGTGATTTCTTCTACATATTGTTTAAATATTTATTGGCATCTGATTTTTTGAGTTAAATTTTCATCAGACTGGTGCTGTAGGGATTTTCCAACTTGGTAGATTTTATTTTTGTTACCGTCAGTATATTGCATCATTTTTGTGTTTTTTTTTTCTCTTTCATAGCTATCTGGTGGATGCGAGTTAACAGTTGTCATCCATGATTTCTCAGCAACCAATAGCAATGAACTGAGCATTCGCCGGGGTCAAACTGTGGAAGTTTTAGAGAGGCCTCATGATAAGCCAGAATGGTGCCTGGTCCGGACAACTGATCGATCTCCTGCTGCAGAAGGAGTTGTTCCCAGCAGTGTTCTATGTATTGCACATTCACGAAGCAGTATGGAAATGGAGGGCATTTTTAACCATAAAGGTAAGATAATTGATTATGGTCTAGCTTACATTGTGCTTATCTTTGATGAATTATCTTGGAAGAACCACAATGCAGAATCTGATTAACAAATCCTGGAGATCACAGCGGGTCAGGCAACATGCACGGAGAGAGAGCAAGCTAACGGTTCACATCTAGATGACTCTTCATCAGAGCTAGACTCAACATTAGCTTACTCTCTCCATGGATGCTGTCTGACCTGCTGTTATCTCCAGCATTTATTGTTTTCAGTTCAGATTCCAGCATCTGCAGTAATTTGCTCCTGCAGAATCTGATTAATCAAGCTGAGAAGATTTGAAGTCAATAAGCTAAGCAGCATACCGTAATTCTGTTCAATGTTTGTCTGTTTTGATTTCCAGTGGAACCCATTAGCCAGATTTATAAAACCAAATTTCCGTGCCTTCATCTGTGATAGTCAGGAAGTGGGAGAAATTTTACAAATGGCAAGTGGAACCCAGTTCCAGGATTCCTGCCCCCGTTCCTGTATTGAGGAATTTTTGCAGCCCTAGGTTTGGGGTGTTAGATAGCAAACCTCCATGCTACAGTCCTGTCTTTGGCTGCTCCGTTGCAAGAGTGAACATTTTAGACCTCACACTATTCACACTATTTGATAGCAGCACTTCAGTGGAGTCTTGAACCATAGGGAGTGCCTGGTCTGGAGTTGATAACTAAGTTCAGAAGATGTTGACAGCATTGTGTTATAAAGCAGAGGTTGACCCCCACTGTGAGAACTAAGAAAACAAAGAGGAACGCCTCGCCCCATAATCTGTAAAAGTAGTGTGAAAAATGGTGTTAGAGATAGTAGGAACTGCAGATGCTGGAGAATCTGAGATAACAAGGTGTAGAGCTGGATGAACACAGCAGGCCAAGCAGCATCAGAGGAGCAGGAAGGCTGACGTTTCGGGCCTAGACCCTTCTTCAGAAATGACGGAGGGGAAGGGGGTTCTGAAATAAATAGGGAGAGAGGGGGAGGCAGATAGAAGATGGATAGAGGAGAAGATAGGTGGAGAGGAGACAAACAGGTCAAAGAGGCGGGAATGGAGCCAGTAAAGGTGAGTGTAGGTGGGGAGTTAGGGAGGAGATAGGTCAGTCCAGGGAGGATGGACAGGTCAAGGGGACGGGATGAGGTTAGTAGGTAGGAGATGGGGGTGGGGCTTGAGGTGGGAGGAGGGACAGGTTAGGGAGGTGGGGACAAGCTGGGCTGGTTTTGGGATGTGGTGGGGTGAGGGGAGATTTTGAAGCTTGTGAAGTCCACTTTGATACCATTGGGCTGCAGGGTTCCCAAGCGGAATATGAGTTGCTGTTCCTGCAACCTTCGGGTGACATCGTTGTGGCACTGCAGGAGGCCCAGGATAGACATGTCGTCTGAGGAATGGGAGGGGGAGTTGAAATGGTTCGCGACTGGGAGGTGCAGTTGTTTAGTGCGAACCGAGCGTAGGTGTTCTGCACATTTTTTGCAGTACATGGACACCCAGAAATGTTGGTCACAGATACCAGCAGGGTATTTGAGTATTTCATAGAATCCCTATGGTGTGGAAACACACCATTCGGCCCAACAGGTCCACACTGCCCCTCCAAAGAGCATCCCACCCAGACCATTTCCCCTAACCCTGCATTTACCATATCTAACCCACCTAACCTAAACATCCCTTGGCACCATGGGCAATTTAGCATGGCCAATCCACCTACCCTGCACATCTTTGGACTGTGGGAGGAAACCGGAGCACCCAGAGGAAACCCACGCAGACGTGGGGAGAATGTGCAAACTCCACACAGACAGTCACCCGAGGCTGGGATCGAACCCGGATCCCTGGTGCTGTGAGACAGCAGTGCTAACTACTGAGCCACCGTGCAGCCCCGATAGAACATAGAACTGTTTAGCATAAGACAATGTTGTGCCATATATGACGCCAAATTAAACTAATCCCTTCTGCCTGCCTTTGCTCCATATTCCTCCATTCGTTGTATATTCATGTGCTTATCTAAAAGCTCTTAAGTATCCCTATTGAATCTGCCTCCACCACTACCCCAGCCGCGCATTCCAGACGCCTACCACTGTCTGTGTAAAAAAAAACTTGCCCCTCAAACCTCCTTTGAACTTTTCCCCCCCTCACCTTAAATCCATGCCCCCTAGTATTAGACATTTCACCTCTGGGAGCAAGATTCTGACAATCAACTCTATCTATGCATCTCATAATTTTAATGGATTTCTATCAAGTCTCCCCTCAGCCTCCATGCTCTAGAGAAAACAACCTGAGTTTTTCTAGCCTCGCCTTATAGGTCATACGTTCTAACCCAGGCAGCATCCTGGTAAACCTTTTCTGCACCCTGTCCAAAGCCTCCATATCCTTTCTATATTGTGGAATTGAATGCAGAACTCTTAAGTGTGGCTAACCAACGTCTTATACAGCTGCAATATGACATTCTGACTCTTGTACTCAATTTCCCGACCAATAAAGGCAAGCATTCTTTACCATCCTATCTACTTGTATAGCCACTTTCAGGGAGCTATGGACTTGAACCCCAAGATCCCTCTGTACATCAATGCTGTTCAGGGTCCTGCCATTAATTGTATTCTTTTCCTTAACATTTCATCTCCCAAAGTGCGGCACCTCACACTTACCTGGATTAAACTCCATATGCCATTTCTCCGCCCATATCTGCAACTGATCTGTATCCTTTTTGACAAGCTGCAACATTATCCACAACGCTACTAATCTTTGTATCGTCTTTAAACTTACTAGCCCACCCATCTACATTTTCATCCAAGTCATTTATATATATCATAAACAGCAAATGTCCCAGTATGGATACCTGCAGAACACCACCAGTCACGGACTTCCAGCCAATAAAACAGCCTTCCGCCATTACCCTCTGTCTTCTCAGAGCAAGGTCAGAAGTCACACAACACCAGGTCCAACACTGGCACCTCCAGATCATGACGTCTGTGGGCAAGCCAATTCTGAATCCACGTGGCCAAGTCATTGTGGATTCCATGCATCCTAATCATCTGGATGAGCCTGCCATGAAGGACCTTGTTGAAAGCCTTACTAAAATCCATGAAACAGCATTCACTGCTCTACCCTCATCGATCATCTTCATCACTTTTTTGAAAAATTCAATCAAGTTAGTCAGACGTGACCTGCCGTGCACAAAGCTATGCTATCCGTCCCTAATTAGGCCATGTTTTTCCAAATGCGCATAAATCCAATCCCTAAGAATTTGCTCCAGTAGTTTCCCAACCACCGATGTGAGACTCACCAGTCTGTAGTTGACTGGATTATCCCTATTTCCCCTCTTGAACAGAGGAACACCATTAGCTACTCGCTAGTTCTCCGGGACTTCTCCAGTGGCTAGCAAGGATACAAAGATCTTGGTCAAGGCCCCATCAATCGTCTCTCTTGCCTCTCTCAATGACCTAGGGTAGATACAATCAGGCCCTGGGGACCTATCTACCTTAATTCTCTTCAGATGACCCAACACCACTTTTTTCTTAATCTCAAATGCCCTAGCATATTAACGTGCTCCACACAAATCTCACTATCCTCCATATCCTTCTTCTGCGTGAATACCAAATTAAAGTACTCATTTAGGATCTCACCCACATCCTCTGCCTCCAAGCACAAGTTCCCTCTTTTACCTGTGAGTGGTCCTACCCTCTCCCTAGTTATTCTCTTGTTTTTAATATATATTTCGAATGCCCTAGGATTCTCTTCAATCCTGCTTGCCAAGGTCATTTCATGGCCCTTCTTGCTATCGTAATTCCCTGCTTGAATTCTTCCCTGCTTCTTTATAGCCATCACGTGCCCTGTCCATCTTTATCTTCCTAAACCTTATGTAAGCTTTTTTTTTCCCTTTTGACTAAATTCACAACCTCCCTCGTTATCCAAGGGTCCCTTACCCTGCCATCCTGTCATTCTACCTTACTGGAACATGCCAGTTCCTAACTCTCATCATCAGGTCTTTAAACAATTCCACATGTCAAATGTGGACTTGCCTGATGACAGCTGCTCCCAATTTACACTCCCTAGCTCCTATCTAATGCTGATGTAATTTGCCCTCCCCCAGTTTAGTACCTTCCCGGAAGGTCCTGACTTATCCTTATTCATAGCTATCTTAAAACTTAAGGAGTTGTGATCATTGCTTCCAAGATGCTGTCCCACTGAGAGGTCAGTCATCTGCCCAGGCTCATTTGCCAATACAAGGTCCAATATGCTCCCACCCCCACCCCCCCTAGCTGGATTATCCAAATGCCATTTCAAGAAACCCTCTTGGATGCACTTAACAAATTCTACCCCAATTAAGCATCTTGCTCTAAGGGAGTCCCAGTCAATACTGGGGAAGTTAAAGTCACCCATTATGACAACTGTTTTTATTGCATCTTTCCATAATCTGCCTCCATATTTCCTAAAGTCAAATGGGATTAGACAGATAAGGACAGCTCAATGCCATCAATCATCCAACGGCCTGGCAGAAAGAACAGTCTAAAGTTTGAAGGCAGCTTTAAGAAACAGCCTACAGCTTCACTAGATGTCAGTCTGTCCTGGTTCCTATTTGATTATAGGACTACTCCTCAAGCAACTATAGGGATAGTTCCAGCAGAGTTGCTAATGGGGAGAAGACTCCATACCAGGTTGAATCTGATCTTCCCTGACCTGGGGGGGG